ATGGTCATTTGAGCGTAGGGCGTCTGAGCGATTGGTGGGTTTTAGGCTGCGAGCAGCGGTCGTCTGAGCGATGGGCGAAGGAAACTAACGGCGGTCGTCTGAGCGATGGGCGAAGGAAACTAACGGCGGTCGTCTGAGAGTTTGAAAGAGAACTTGAGCGTTTTGTGAGGTAGGTAGGGTTTGAGGCAGCGAGGGTTGTCTGAGCGTAAAAATTAATCTATTGCAAATTCTAGCTACGGATTGCCATATCCGTCGCTATATATAGCGACGGTATCTAAAATCCGTCGCTACATATTAAAAAAATTCAGCAATTAATCTCCCGTTATAAATGTAGCGATGGATTTGTGGATCCGTCGCTATTTCTAGCGACGGATCAACATATCCGTCACTAGAATATGAATCGCAATTAAATCCCTGTTACAAATATAGCGACAACAATGGATTCCGTAGCTATCTAGCGACGGATAAGCAAATCCGTCGCTATATTGCAAGCACAAAAAATGCCTCTTGAAACTTTAACGACGGATATATCTTTCCGTCGCTATTCTGTAGCAATTAAAATAGTAAAATTGCCCCGTGCAAAATGCCGTCGCAAATTTGTCTCTAGTTTTTGCGCCAACATTTACCGCTAAATTTAGCTACGTTTTTAACTACGGAAATATTCAGTCGCAATATCCGTCATAAATTCGTCGCTAGTCCGTCGTTAAATATTCATTTAACAAAAAAAATAAAATCTGTCACTAATTTGTCGCTATTCCGTCGCTAAGTTAGCAACGGAAGTCATCCGTCGCTAAATCCGTCGTTATTTTTGTGTTTTTTTGTAGTGGAATAGTTAGTTTATGGATTTGAGTTAGGGTTGTATTATCTATCTTGATGCTTGATTTGTGATTATTGCAAAAAGGGGAAGAACTCTAACCTAGGGTTGTTGAGTTTATGAAGGATTTGTGTTTGTATATTGTTAATGCTTGGTGTACAACATTCATTGGCATGTTTTGGAGGATTCTTTGCCTCAATGAGAGTTGGGTCAAGATTCCAAGCCACTCTTTGCATAAACCCGATTTTTCCTATGAAAATGGGGAAAATGGGGAAAATTGGGGGGTTTAGATGCTTTGTGTTCTTGAAGAACTTGGAGTTGATTCACCATGAGAGTGAGGCAATTCCTTGTTCTAATCCTTGTTAATTTACTCACGTGAGTGACTTATAGACTAGGATTCCTACGTGCATCCCCTATATTTCTTGGTTGTGTGATTTCCCCCAATCCTTAGGTTGTGCTATGCATCTAGAAGATAATTCTCCCTAGCTTGAATCCTATTTCTTTATTTCGTGTTTACATCTTGTTAAGATGTGTTTGTGTTACTTTGTTTAGTTACCATAGCCTCAATCTTGTTATGATTTGCTTAGCTTCTTGTTGATTTCCTTATGCTAGTGTCTAGTTTCTTGTAATTGCATATTGCGTGCCATAACCCCCAATCCCCTGAGGACGACATTACACACCCGAGCTCCCATCTTATTTTTGCTAGAATCACTCGAATACACGCAGATGGGAAATATTGGGTTCTACACCACGTAGTAGTTGCAAGGGGGAATAATCATGATGTGCAGTGGGTCGGATTTGTATTAAAGCTGCAGCATGCAATACTCATGTTCCCAACAAGAAATCGGTAAATCGAACTTCTATAATAATGGTCTAGCGATCAATTTAATACGCTTAATCAGAGATTCAGCTAGACCATTCTGAGTATGGACATAATGTACAAAATGCTCTGCTTTGATGCCCAAGGTCATACAATAATCATTGAAAGTTGTTGATGTGAATTCGTCAGCATTATCCATTCTTATTGATTTAAGGGGTCGTTTGGTTCACGGAATGTCAGATTACCTTGGGAATGTTAGATTGCTAGGAATGTTAGATTACTGGGAATGTTAGATTCCTGTGTTTGGTTAAAATTGGGGTATGTAATATAATCATGTTCGGTTTAGGGTTATCTTTTATTCACACACTATATAATATCCTTAACATATTTTCATATATTTTAATAAATTTAAAAATTAAAATAAATAAATAATATAACGGTATCATATATAATTACATGATTTTAAAATATTAACTAAAATATTGAACTTGAGAAACAAAATTATTTTATATGCTAACCTAATATAATAAAAATAAAAAATATAAAATTACAAAAATAATTATATATATATATATATATATGTGTGTGTGTGTGTGTGTGTGTGTGTGTGTGTAAAAAACTAACATAACCAAGGTTATCTTACATAACCTTAGAAATTGAAGGGAATCACATTCCCTTCAAAATCCTATGTGGAGGGAATGTGACATTCCTGGGGAATGTTAGATTCCCTGAGATAATATGAACCAAACATAGGAATGTGAGCTTTGGAATGTCACATTCCCTTGGTTATGTTATATAACCCGAACCAAACGCCCCCTAATAGGATAATCTGGAAATTGGGCATTTGACTCAATAATTTTCGCAATAAATTTAGCGAAAGCTTTGTTCCTCGTGGACAATAGACTAACATGAGTCCAACGAGTGAAAGTATCAATAAGGACCATAAAATATCTAAATGGCCTAGAAGGTGGACTAATTGGTCCACACATGTTGCCATGTAACCTTTGCAGAAAAATAGGCGATTCAAGTTCAACCTTTGTACGCGACAGGCGTACAATATATTTACCTTTCGCACAAGCAACACATGTAAACATATTTGGCGAAAGTACATGAGATCTCGAAAGGTTATGTCCAGCAGAATTAGATATGATCTGACGACTACTTATCATTTTTCCTTTGCATCATTTTGTACACTTCAACTAGATGCTTTGGTGTGCGACATATATGATACCAGTGCCCCGTACACCCATACGATAGATGATGTGTGACCTCGATGAACCTTGATCACTCTGTTTCTTTTCTTGGACCCGGAGTCATTGTTGCCTTTACCTCTACCACTTTGGTTGTTTCGACCGTGACCTCTACCACGACCCCTTCTAGAATTGCTTCCCTGGGCAAAATGATGTGCTTCAGGCACTAGGCAGACCCAACCGGTCGTGCATTATGGTTTTTCATCAATAATTGGTGGTGCTTCTCGGCCACAAGAAGTGCAAATATTAGCTCAGAATGTTTTTCATAATTCTTTGCCATGTACTGCTGCTGGGGAGTACAAGGTTACTCGCATGAAAAGTAGATAGGGTCTTTACAATTAAATCTTTCTCTAGAACTTCTTGTTTGCAAAGCTTTAGTTGCAAAACCATTTTATGAAGGACCGAATTGTAATCAATCACTGACTTATACTCTTGAAACCTAAGATTAAGCTTGTCAAATTGGGCTTGAGGAAGGACAATCGATTACTGCTGTTCAAAACGGTCCTTTAGGGACTTCCATAATGCAAAAGGGTCATTTTCAGTATTCATTTTTCAGGTCGTGGTTCAAGTGGTGACGTAAGAAAATGAGAGTCTGCGCCTTCTGGGCGTTAGTACACTGTGACTTGGCAACAATGGTTTGACTTAGTTATTTAGACGCGAGATGAATCTCGATGTCTAGAGCCCAAGTCAAATAGTTGTTTTTGTCAAGTGCGAGCTTAGTAAATTCTCATTTGGTGATAGAAGGCATAATCGTTCACCACAGATTACGATGGAGGCTCGTGCTGATAACGTGTTGTAATTTGGCCTATCAATTAGCTCAATTCTCACGTGATGATTGCACGGTAATTGCTCGGAGATTATATATATATATATATATATATATATATATATATATATATATATATATATATATATATAGTGTAGAGAAGTAAAAGGAGAAGAAGAACACAAGATATAGAGCACAATAACATAAGATCTTCAAGATCCATTTCATTAAGCCTTCACTATCAATTTATACTAATCCATACAACCTTTCATATTCTTAACATAAACAATGTAATAAGTAAAATGCAAATGAAGAGTCACAAGTTTAATGGTCATCAATAAAGAATTTATAACAAAAATAACATAATGCAAGGACGAACAATTAATTCAATTTCCAAGTCTCTAACATCCAAATCTCCCTAATGCTATGCGGACCATGATCCATGTCTCCATGATATAAATTGCCACTAACCGAAGCAATTTATATCATGGACCAGGGTCCGCATAGCATTATGGACTTTGGATCGAAATGATGAGATACAAAATTTTATAACACAATACACAAAAAATCACAACATAACACACATACACATATTATATATTTACTTATTTTTTAAATTTGATTAGATACATAATTTGTGTTTATAGGCACAGAATTTCACAACACAAGACACAGAAATTCATAACATAAGACACAAGTACTAATTTGTTTCAGGTACAGGATTCATAATCTTAAGGTATAAAATTTCATAACACAAAACATAAGAACTCACAACATAAAATGAAACTGAATAACATTTCACATATTTGAGTGTATATTGTACAATGAAGCTATAATTATATCAAAATGATCATGTAGTTGTGTTTTAATAAAACTATAATGTATATAAAATAAAATTAAATAACACTTTCACATATTTAAGTCTATAAATATCTAATGAAACTGTGGTTATATCGAAATGAAACTGTAGTTATGTTGAACTGAAACTACAGTGTATACAAAATGAAACTGAATAACAGAGTTACTTTTTGCGGAAGGGTGCGAAACGGCTGCCGTTTCTTTTCATTAAACAAAACGACGTCGTTTTGATCATTTTGATGCCACCGCGGTGCACAATCGGTTATGCACTGCAGTACACGATATAATTTGCAAAGTATCCTAGTATTCTTCCAAAATCCAAACTCAAAACATCTAGGCGGAAGATAATAGAAAAGGCAAGGGTTTCTGAGTGATGACGCTTCTCCCCTAATCTCTTTTTTCTTCCCAAATTCTTGGAAATTTCTTTTGTTTCCAAAATCATGTGAGTTGAATTGGATTGGAATCGAGCGATTTTATCATTTCTTTGTTTAGTGGCGAGTTTTGGTCGAAGACCGAAGCGATGGATTTAATAAATGAACTGCCAGCAGAAGTGAAGGAAAGGGTTTTGGAGTGCTTGCCTACTCGAGACGCTGCCAGAACTGCTTTGCTCTCAACTCACTGGAATGAGGTTTGGTTGCGGCATGGGCGGCTTGTGTTCGATCAGGACTTCTTGAAATGCCTCTCAAAGTATGAAGGTGAGAAAGGTATAGCTCTGGTTAACACAATAAATGATATTCTCATGCTCCGTACTGGACCAGTTCTGCACATCGGATCCTAAGCCCCAGCAGTCTGACTGATTTAGATCGGTGGTGTCGTTTTCTTTCGAGAAATGGTCTACAGGAACTGAACTTGTTTATTTCGGGTAAATATAAACTGCCATTTTGTATATTCTCGTGCCGGACAATTAAAAAACTGATTCTAGGCGCGTTGTATATTTCCCAGCCTCACTTCATTAGTCTTCGAGAATGTTGAATTTAGGGATAATGTTAAGGGAATTGGCTACAATGTTCCTAATCTTGAGGGGCTGTCTTTCCGTAGATGTAAAGGGATCACTAATATTGAGATCAGCAGCCCAAAACTTGAAAGATATACTGTTATTGGTTCTCTGTTTTGGAGGAAGATTGATGAATCCAGATGGTTTAGATTTATTTGAAAACAATTAAGACCCTTTGCTTGAGTGCCTGTTTGTTGCCGGTGAGAATCTCTACTTTCACATTCTCTTTCTTTATGCAAATGGATTGATTATTAGGATTGATAGAATTCTTTCAATGCTCATATGATTTTTTTTTATTTTTTATTTTTTTTTTTGAAGTGTAAAAATGCAGAAATAGCAACAGTTACATGCCCTACCGCAATAAATTTGCAAGTAATTGAGCTGTATCAGTTAAGTGTTTCATGTGGAGAGCAGCTTGCCTTTGTTTTACAGTTGCTTCAAAGTTCCCCCAACCTATGCAAGCTGAATATTGTGGCATTAAATGTTGTAAGACACAACCTCTGGACTATATATTTGGGAATCATATATGATTGTTTTCTTTTCAATTCCTTGTTAACTTCTTCATGGTTGAGTTGTAGCTATGTTCTTGTGATATAACAACGGGTACAAGACTTTTGGAGGATCCAAACAGTTACATTATTAAGCAGGATCTGAAGATTCTCAACACAATCATGATTGACGGGTTAGGTGGATGTACACTTGAAATGCTTTTTGTGAAAATGCTGCTCTCAAAATCTCCTGCACTAGAGAGAGTTGTTGTTGATACTGATACCTCTGAAGATGTCAATAGCCTAAGGGAGTTGTTGCGTTTTCCTTGTGCATCTCCGAAAGCACAAATTGTTTGCAGGGAAAACGATGGCTCCTTGTTCGAACTATTTGAAAACGAATGGTTTTAACCTTGTAGGAATTTAGTATGATGAAGCTCCATGGGTTTAGTTTGCTTGAGTGCCACTTTGTTGCCGGTGAGTATCTCTACTTTTGCATTCTCTTCTTTTATGAGTTTATGCAAATGGATTGATTATTACTATTGACAATTTCTTTCAATGCTCATATGATCTTTGTTTTTTTGGTAGTGTAAAAATGCTTATGTGATATAACGTGTACAAGCTAGAGTTTTGGAGGATCAAAACAGTTGCATTTTAAGGATTTGAAGATTCTTAACAGTCATGATTGAAGGGTTTAGGGGATTTACTCCCTAAAATAAGCTTTTTTTGTGAAAATGCAGCTCTCAAAATCTATTGCACTAGAGAGTTGTAATTAGGGGTGTTCAATCGGTTAACCGTTCGGTTAACCGAACCGTTTTAACCGAACCGAATTAACCGAAGTTTTTTTTCTTTTAACCGTTAACCGAACCGAAGTTTTCTCTACCGAATTCACCGAACCGAAATTTTTTTCGGTTAATCGGTCGGTTAACCGATTAACCGAACTTTTTAAAGTTAAAATTTAAAATTCTAAAAATAACACCTAAAATAATAAATCCAATTAAAATAAAATACATATTATAATAAATTCATAACAAAATATACAAAAACATTAATTATAAACTCCAAACATCCATAACTTCAAATTAGTATTTATATTTATATTATTATTTATATATATATTACAAACTTCGGTTAACCGTTCGGTTAATTCGGTTAACCGACCTTTCGAACCGAATTAACCGTTAACCGAAGTTTTAAAATTTCTTTAACCATTAACCGAACCGAAAAAGTTCGGTTCGAAAACGGTTAACCGAAATTTGTCGGTTCGGTCGGTTAACCGAAAATTATCCGAAATTTGCACACCCCTAGTTGTAATTGATACATCCGTAGATGTCCAAAGCCTAAGGGAGTTGTTGCATTTTCCTCGTGCATCTCTGAAAGCCCAGATTGTTTGCATGGAACATGTGTCCGGACTATTTGAGTACAATATGGTTTTAACCTTATAGGAATTTAGTATGATGAAGCTCCATGGGTTCAGTTTGGATGCAACCTAGATATGTAAGCAATGGTTGTGGCCGGTGGTAGAGAAACCTCATTAGTGAGGTTTTTGGGTTGGTTTTTGTTATAGTCATGTAGGAAAGAGGAGGGAGAGAAAACAGGAAAAAAGAGGGAAAATAAAAACAAATTTTGACTCCAATTTCTTTTTAAGAAAAACAAACAAACAAAGCATAGGAAGCGCTTGAAGACGATGGATTGGGGTCCCGGCATAGTGCCAAATAAAAATTATGTGCTTATGGAAATGAATTTATGTATTTGCAATATTGACTCTTATGAATTGAATTTATTTAAAATAATGATTTTATGTATCTCACTACTAGAAATTATGGAATTTCCGACCACCTGAAAGTGATCTTAAATCAAGTTGATACCAAAAAGTGGTCGGAAATAGCAACAAAGGTTTTTCCGGATACCAAAAGTGGTCGAAACAAGGCTTTTTACTTGATTTAAGATAATTTTCAGGTGGTCGAAAATTTCATAATTTCCACTAGTGTCTCTAGATTTATTTGAGAAAAATAAATAAAAACTATCATGATTGAGTCATTTATAAATAAAACTAGTTGTAAACACGCGTGTACATATCAATATGAGTCATTTATAAATAAAACAACTTGTAAATATGTGTTGCGTGAAATTGAATAATGTCCAATGAACAACAAAAAGTTAGTAAAATTAAATGATTGAAATAAATAAAGAAAAAATAAATTTTATAAATATTAGAAGATATTTAATTTTTTAAATGATTAAAATAAATAAATAAATAAATCTTATAAATATTAGAAGTAAAATTTAATTTTTAAAATGATTAAAATAAATAAAGAAACAAATAAATGTTATAAATATTATAAGATGAAATTTTAATTTTTATGATACGAAATATTATCATATAGCATAAATTTTTTTAAAAATGCATGGCAGAAGAGTTAAATAGGTCCATGTACTAACATTGCAATCATTATTGCGTAGACCAAGGTCCACACAAGTTGTGTGGACCATATTTTGTATATTGTAAAATAATGTACATTAGTACAAAAATAATGTACATTGTATTCAGGAGATGTACATTATTTTTTGTACTGAGTGTACATTATATTGTATAATGTACTTTCAGTACAAAAATAATGTACATTTAGTATATTAAAAATGTACTTTTTGTTATGGTCCACACAATAATTTGATTGTTCATCTAGTACCATGAATTAAAATATGGTCCATCTAGACTATTATGGAACGTTATGTTGTGCAACCGTGTGCACCATGCAAGGTGTACACGATTTCAATTCATAATTTCTATGTTATAGATTCATAATTTTTATACTATAAATTCATAATTTATATACTATAGATTCATAATTTCTATACTATAGATTCATAATTTCTAAATCGTAGATTCATAATTTAAATACAGTAGATTCATAATTTCTATATCGTAGATTCATAATTTAAATACAGTAGATTCATAATTTTTATACAGTAGATTCAAATTATGAACATATAGTTCTGTGATTTGTGAATACAGAGTTCAACAATTGGGAATATGAACATCGAAAATTATGAACATAGAGTTCTGTAATTGTGAATATAGAGTTCAACAATTATGAATATGAAGTTCAAAAATTATGAATATATAGCTTTATAATTATGAACATATAGTTCAGTAATTATGAACATAGAATAGTGTGCACCATGCATGGTGCACACGGTTGCACAGCATAATTTGCCGACTATTATACTCCAAATTATTTTTCATCTAGCATTTTTAGCAAGTTTCTAACAAGTAACCCATCTAATTTGCTTACATGGAAAAATAAAATAAAAACAAAATGTTGACATTTTATTTTTTCATCTAACTCGCTGTTTTTGTCACTTTTTTAACGTATTTCCAGATTATGTTGATTTCTTCTATGAATTTTCCAGAAAACAGTGAATCTATTTTTCCATCGGCTGTGAAATAAGTATGTTATCGCTTTTGTGGTTTTTGAACTCATTTATTGGCATTAGGATTGGTTTTTATTTTGGTTTTGGATGATGCGTTTATGAGGCTTCTTCGGTACATACCTGAGATTGAGGAGCTTGGAAAAGAGCTAGTTAATAGACTAAGGGACAATGATGATGTGTATATTGCTCTTCATTTGAGGTATAAAAACTAACACGACTTTTGATTTAATGTTTGATGTGTAACTTAATTAACCAACTTCCTTTGAGTGTAGATACGAAAATGATATGCTTGCATTTAATGGCTGCAGCCAGAATCTGACTAAAGTAGAAGCTAAGGAACTTTGCGTTTTGAGATATAATGTGCAGCACTGGAAAGAGAAAGAGATAGACAACAAAGAAAGGGTCGGAGATTGTCATATGTCCCCGGGAAGCGGTCATGTTTCTAAAGGCGATGGGGTACCCCTCCACGACAAAAATATCCATTTCGCAGTGCAAAATTATGGTAACAACAGTATGGATGCATTCCTCTTAGAATACCTCTACGTGTTTTCACACTTAACACTCGCATCAGAGCATGAGGTGGAATCTTTCAAGCCATATCAGAAATCAACATAATCCAGAAATACGTAAAAAAAAATTTGAATTTTTCTGCAGAAAAAAAAAGTGACAAAAATAACAAGTTAGATGAAAAAATAACACGTTTATCAATTTTTGTTTTTACCATGTAAGCAAATTAGATGGGTTACTTGTTAGAAATTTGCTAAAAATATACTAGATGAAAAATAATTGAGAGTATAATAGCTTAGATGGACCATATTTTAATTAATGGGACTATATAAACAATCAATGTTAGTACATGAACCTATTTGACCCTTCTCCAAAATGCATTGAACACATAGGTATTGAGTTTCAAAAAATATTTTGCTTTTAGTAAGTGCACTTAGTTTTTCTTATAATTTCTTCTATTATAATTAGATTTTAATATCAATATCATAATAAATAAAATGAAAATGTTTTGTAGACAATAAGTCAATGAAGCATATATTCCACACAAGTAAGATACATATGGAAAACAAAACTCTTTCAAAAAAGAAAAAGAAAAAGGAAAAAAAAAGGTGAACATTTAATTCTTTTTTTTTAAAAAAAAGTTAAAATCTATATCTCACTAAAAGTATTCTCGCCCAAACTAATTTGTATTGGTCAAATTATTTGATTATGGTAGACTATGAAATAATTAATGATAGGATGGTAATAGAATATAGAAGAATATTTAATTATGGTTAAATTATTTCTACATCTACAAATACAATATACATACATATACATACAAATACAAATCTAATAAGAGCCAATAATGTTAGGCCCTTAACTGGAACAAAAAAAAATGTCGGTAATAGTTGTTTCTTAAAATGAATGGTTCATATTATTTTGATTTTAGTATTTTTAATGATTTTCATTATTTACCCTCTATTATATTATTTTCTTCCCTTAAATAACCCTAATTTCCGTTAGTATAAACTTTAGTAACGGAATATTCCGTTAACTATTTATTATTCCTAACATACTCATTAATTTACATAAGAAAGGTCTTAGGTTCGAATCTCATCCCAATTAGAGTTGGCATAATTGTTAAACATATATTATGAATATGTTAAAATGTATTAAAAATCTATATATATATAAAAGTAAAATCCTCCTATTTCATTTTCTCGCCCAAACTTTTGTAGTAAAACTTTTTGTAGTAAAACTTATTTGGTAACTAAATGTAAAATAGAAATTAATTAAAATCTATTAATTGATAATATTGTTTCCATATTCACGTATTAACCTAATTGGTAAATCTATTAATTGGTAATATTTTTTCCTTATATTTATTTATTCATTCTTTTATATTGAGTAAGTATATTTAGAGATATAGATATGTATACTAACATACAACTGTTACGGCTCCAATGTTTATTCTTGCCCAGGATATTTCTCCATTGAAGACTTGCAGAGCTATTAGACTGCAATTGGTGCGCACCTATATGAAGTCCCATAGAGAAAGGGGAGTGAATCCATAAAATCTAGAGAGTGCATGCTTCACGATCAAGAGGTTTTTTTTTTTTTTTTTTTTTTTTTTTTTCAATTTTACTTTTTTTATACGACTCCAATGTTTATTCTTGCCTAGGATATTTCTCCATTGAAGACTTTCAAAGCTATTAGATGGTGATTGGTGTGCACCTATATGAAGTCCCATAGATAAAGGGGA